AGAGCCATTTTTTCCAACCTATGTAATATGTAAAAGTGCATCTCAAATATGTGCTGTGTTACAAAAAGGTTTCCATTGCTTTGCTAGCCAGTATGGAGTCTCTCTTATGCAGCGCCACAGTAACCAGTGTCAAACTGTTGGTAGGACGTGGGGAACAGTGTCTGAAGTCCTCATTCAGTCTTCACATTTGTAGAGTTTGAATTTTCACGGCCTGAACCCAACTGTGTAGGAAGTATGCGTACTGTCTTTTTGTAACTAAATAATCTCACTACTTTTATTTCCAGCCCCTTCTGCTGGATGGAAGTATGCATGGTTTTTCTCCATCACTCCAGACCAAGTCAGTTCTTCATCTCCTCCTTCACCTTCTCTCCTGCAACCCCCAGATTACCCTCCACTCCATGGGCTGACACAGCATCTTGGTGTCCTGCAGTTTTTCTCTGACCCCTGATAAAGTTTACAATCCCATCTCTTGCTATGACCTTGAAATGCCCTCAGGGTTTAGGGGTCAGACCCTCAAATCCTTGCCAGGCACTTATCCCAGCACCGGGAACCCTGGCTGCTCTCTGAGGCTGCTCTGCACCGCAGACCATCCCCTAAGCCACCCTGGTTCTGCCTCTGCCCCTGGGCCCAGCCATTGTTGCTCTATGGCTCTGGGTCGTGTTGGCATACAGAACTCCTCAGGGGCCCCAGGGTTCCAAATTGGAAGCAGAGGATTTTCTCTGTTCTCAGAGCCTCAAAACTTTTGGAGATTCTACAATACCATCCTTTCCCCATCCCACTCCTTGGAACCTTCCAGGAGGTGAGCAGAATCCCTCTCAGAGATCCTACTGTCTCTCTCATTCCCACCCTAACCTTCTTCCTCTTCTTCCCCAGTTAGGAAAGAGGATCTTTAACCTTTGTAGGGGGGCCTGTGAGGAGAGGAACAGTGTGTAATGTTTTAGGGGCAGAGTTGGCTCAGCTACTTTTGGAATCTTTGTGTCTGCTGCAAGTTTTGGCGTTTTAGTGCGCAAGGACAGCTTTCCCCCTGGGCAGCAGCACCCTGGTAAATAAGTGCAAGGGGAAATTCCAATAAATCACACGGGAAATAGCCCACCAGTTAATACTTAACAGTGTCTTGTTGCTCAGGCTGCATACTTCTTTTCATAGTTTGAAACTGATGACTTTTTCTTTGTCAGAACTCCAATATTTTTGGAGTTTGAAGTCTTAGGTAGTGCTCTCTGCTGCCTAAATGGATGAGCAGTTCACAGGGCTCAGCCTCAACCTCCACCATCCAAGTCAGGCTCCCGTCTCCTTTATTTCCCAGGACTCAGAAGTTCTCATTTTCATTCCCTGTTTTCTCCAGATCTTGGCTTTTGCTATCTGCTTGCCAGATCAGCTCAGAGCACCATCAAGCTGAAAGGGATCTGGGATGGGAAACAGACAAGTCACAACCGCAAGTGTTGTAGAGAATGTACTCTAGGAGTTGTCATTTCTGAAATTGAACTGCTTCTGAATTGAAGATAAGCACGTCTTGGAAGAGAAACATGTAGCCAAGCCCAATGCCAAGGCCGTTGGAGAATTGAGATCTTGCATGCTAGGAGACCTTGGTCCTATAACCTTGGAAGCAGGACATGGATCTGATTAAATTGAGGTCAAATTCTGGTCAATTTGTCCATCATCAGTAGGAGAAAAAAGCCAACTTGATATCTGAGTCATATGTTTTGACACTTAAAGGAGACACAGGACAAAGACATTTTTCAGAAAAAGGAAAAAATAAAAATAAAGAAAAGGACAGTTAAATGTGGTATTAAAGAGGCTACTTAAAGTCCAGGCATAATCAAGGACTAGCCATTGGGATTATTGCTTAGGTTGGTGTTTCTCAAGCTTTAACATACACACCGATTGCACAGGGTGCTGATGGGGGACACCAGGGACTCTGCGTTTCTAACATGCTCCTAAATGATGCTGATGCTGCTAGTTCATGGATCACACTTTAAGTAGCAAGAGCTTAGAAGACAGGCTGGGAGACAGGAGATGGCCCTGAAGTGATGCTAAAAGAAACCCCAAATTGAAACACTTTCACCTTAGAACCACTTTCTATTCTAGTCCTCTTCCCAAAGCCCTTCCTACCAGCTGCCCATGGGAATCACCTTGGCTGTTTCGTAACACTTTCTTCCCTTCTGGAACAGTTAATATTCTCTAGATTATAAGAAGAGGAACCCAACTCTGGCCAACTCAAGGAGATTTATATGAAGGTGTCAACGGAAAAGAAGCCTAACTCTGTAAAATAATTTAAAGAGATTTGTTCTGAGCCAAATTTGAGGACCATGGCCCGAAGCAACGCCCAAGAAGCCTTCGGCGAGTGAAACTGCTGTGGTTGGGTTACAGTTTGGTTTTATACATCTCAGGGAGACAGGGGTTACAGGTAAAGTCATAAATCAATACATGGAAGGCATAGATTGGTTCAGCCCGAAAAAGTGAACATCTCAAAGCGAGAGCTTACAGGTTATCGGTGGGTTTAAGGATTCTTTGATTTGTAATTGGTTAAATTGTCTAAAGGCTTGGAATGTTTTAAGTTAAGGTAAGGAAGTCTGTTGATCAGAGACAAGTCACCAGCTATATGCCCAGATTCCAGTGACCTGTTACGTAACTGAAGACCCGCAGGTGTGATTCAAGCTTTGTCTTGCGTAGCCTTAGGCCTGCTGATGAGTTACAAAGGACTTCTCCAGGAAGGGAAGGGGGCATGATGAATGTGTCTGACCTCCCTTTTCATGGCCAACACCTCAGCTTTAGAGTATTTCTGGGGTCTCTTTGGCCAAGAGGGGGTCCATTCAGTCCACTGTCGGGGGGTGGTGAGTTTAAGATTTTTAGTTGACAAAGGATACTTGGCAGTGCACAGAATTGAAGAGCAGACTAACCAGTCCTGGGGTGGATAGGAAACAGAGTAAATCAGGGGACTTCAGTAGCACAAGCTCCTGGACCGCCCCCCGTAAGACACAAGCATTCTGTCTCTTCAAGTTTCAAGTTTAAATCATGTGTTTTTACGTTTCAAGCTCTTAGCAACATAAGCCAATTCAATTTGTATCTGCTGCACTTTGTCCCTAGTAAGGCTGCTTTTGATGTTACTTTTAACTTGCTTTTTACAAATGCACAATTGTGTGTCTGTCTCTCTGTCTAGGGGAAAAGGAGATGGTAATGAAATGTTGCAAGGTGATTTGCCCCCAAAGAAATTATTGAAAAGTCCCTTGTGTATCAAACTTTTAGGACATTTAAAAATACTATGTTATATTGTTGGCCTGCATGTGTCTTGGGTTTATAACTAAAAGGTTTCTATTAGCAGGAGGAGCCATCTTCATATTTTTACAATATAAACATGGCTTTTATCTGATTTTTAAAAAACAGTAATTGTAAATTTTCAAAGGGCCATTTTGAGACATACTTTCTCCTCTAATCATAAAAAACATCCACAATAGAAAAATTTATGATTGGGGCAATAAAACAATGTATGAGAGAATGGGCTTCCCTGTTTCACTTACTTAACGTTGGTCAATTACATTTTCTAAATCTCAATTGTGTGTCCTGGAACTGAGAGATAGTCAGGTTTCTTTCTCACACATTTGTTTGGATGATTAAATAATTTTATTTTTATTTATTTATTTTTTTGAGACAGGGTCTCACAATGTCACCCAGGCTGGAGTGCAGTGGCCCAATCATAGGTCAGGGCAGCCTGGAACTCCTGGGGTCAAGTGATTCTCCTTCCTCAGCCTCCCAGGTAGCTGGGACTGCGGGCATGCACCACCACACCACCACCCCGGCTAATCTTTTTATTTTGTGTAGAGCTGGCTCTTGTTATGTAAATTATGTAAAGTGCCTTTGAACAGCTTTGAAAAGTTAACTATTAAGTTAAGTCAGCACTATTATTATGGAGTTTGAGACTTTCTGGGAACAACTGGGAACCTGAGAGCAAGACATAAATACCAAAGCACTTAGTTATAATCACTAAAAGGTAAGGATGGAGACAAAACACATAAAGGTATATCCATGGTATTTTATATTTCTCAAATTAGTAATGAGCATAGTTCTATACATTTCTACTTATCCTTTGCTCATTAAAAGCTTTTCAGGACTTGACTTCTTCAGAGTTCCAGCAGGAAGCTTAAAAATTTGTTTTGCTTTATTAATAGCAGCTAATATGCATGCTGTAAAACGTTGGCTTCCTGAGTCTGGTCCTCTCTCCAAATGTCTAAAGATTTCACCTTCTCATTTCCTAGATTCTGCCCCTAGGTTCTGCTTTTGTCCCAAAGAGGCGGAGTAACTTGGATGGCTAAACTGGAAAAGGCTTTGGATAATCTGTGCTGAACCCACTCAGCTCTGCCCAGACCCCCTCTTTAATGCCCAGGGACATTCCATCCTGGGTCCCCCGCCGCCCAGCACTTGCCTCACCTACACGACAACCTTAGCACAGTCCTAAGATGTGTGTTCTTCTGTTATCTATGCCCCAGACTTAAAAAAAAAAAAAAAATTAAATTTCTGCCTGCTACCAGATCCTTTTCCTACTTTTTTTTTTCCTTGCCTTAAAATGGTATTCCCTTCTTTTTTCAAATAACCACAACAGGAATGACTGGCCACTGATGTTTTCAGAGTGCCAAAGTGGCATCTCGATGTAAGTCCAGGTACATTAGACTATCACGCTGGGAGTGCTCAAGTACTTGGGAAGAGATTACTGTACCTTTTTTGCATCCCCAAAGCTCAGATAGGCACTCAATTTAAAAATCTTAATAGAGTTGAATCCTGCTGTTGTCATAGGAAAGGAATAGAATTTGGTGGAAAGAAACAGGAAACGAAAAAGAATCAGAAGGAAACTCAGGGAAAAGAACTTTTATGTTCCCTCATGGTGTTTTTATCTAAAGAAACTGACTCTAAAAGTACCAAACAGGAAGGAAATAAATAAGGCAAACATTCGTTTTCGGGGTAATTCTGCCCTCCTTGGCAATCCCCATTTTATTGAAGATGTTACTTATTCATTCCAAGGATTTTTTTTTCTTCATAGGAGGTGGACGTTTCGTCTTCTTAGAGTCAGGAGGCAAGACCTGCGGATGTGTGGGACTTTTCTTGGCCACTACAATTTCATCTACAGCCACGAGCTGCAGCACCACCTCAGCTACTGCTCTGAGCGCTTGGGCTTTGGCCGTTAGGGTGTCCCACACCCCATCCTGGGCCACGTTTATTATCCCTTCGGCTCCCACTCCAACGAGGAAGTTCCCGACTTGATGAACTCCACTCAATTCCGCCATCACATCGCAGACAACTAAGCCTGCATTCTCTGCCAAGGTTTCAGGAAGAGCCCTCAGGGCCCGGGCAAACGCTAGGAACGCAGGACCACTGGGCCCTTCCAGTTTGCTTCCTTTGTCCGACAGCATTTTCGCCAGAGCCATCTCCGTGGCCCCTGCTCCCGGAATCAGTCTGGGATCTTGACACAGCTGGAAGTAGGCGTCGATGCCGTGGTAGACAGCCTGCTCTGCGCCCCGCAGCCCCTGCGCAGTGGCTCCCCTGAGGACCACGGTGAGGGCAGGTGTGCCTGTGCCTTCCCACTCAAATACCACAGCCAAATCTTCTCCCAGCTCCTGTCTGTAAACCCTCTGGCACCTCCCTGGCCTCTGGGGAGGGAGCAGACGAAGCAGCAGAGGTGTGCCGAACACCTTGCTGAGGTAAGCCATCTGCGCCCGGGACCGGGCCTCAATCACCATGATGCAGTGCTCATCCGCCAGGGTGAGGGTCTTCTCATCGATTTCCCCCCATACCACCGCCACGTTAATTTCCATGGCTGCCAGCTGGGCTACTTGCTTTTCTATTAACTGTTCGCTTCCTTTCCTAAATTTAGCCAGATCGGCAGGACTAGAGAGACGGGCGGTTGCCGGTGCATTTGAACTGGCAGGACCAAAGGGACAAGCAAAGAGAGCCACCCTGGCCCCACTTGACACGGCGGTCGTTTGCCCACAGAGCTTCCCAGACATCGCCAAGCCCGGAAGGAGGCAGGAGTCCCCCAGCGTCCCTCCTGGCAGTGTGCACACCCCGACTTGCTCAGCCCGGAAGCCGCCGTCCGGCTCCCTGGTAGCCCAGCATGCGTGGGCCACCAGCTTGGTCAGGTAGTCCGTGTGGGACAGGGCGTGGGTGTTCATCACAGAATAGAGGGCCCAGGATGGATCTTCCAAGGGACCCAGAGAGCGGATCGCCAGGGTGGGCAGTGTGGTCAGGACCTCCGCGGTGGCTGTGGCGTAGGCCTCCCGGAGCTGGGGGCGAGGCAGGCCGGCCTTCAGCAGGTGCTCTGCCTGCTCCAGCAAGGCTCCCGTCAGAAGGACCACGAAGGACGTGCCATCCCCACTGTTCTCTGCCTGGGTTTGGGCTGCTTCCCGGAGGAACCAGGCCGCCGGGTGCTCCAGCTCCAGGGCCCTGAGGATGGCAGCGGCATGCCCTGTGCACACTGTTTCTCCCTTAGTGGTCACCAGCAGCTTCTGCCGGCCATGCGGGCCGTAGCAAGGCCGGATGACACTGGCCAGGGTCTGCACTGCGGCCGTGCTGCTCAGCAGGTGCAGCCCCTTCTCCCCCAGGCTCACCGGGGCCTCCCTCGGGCTCTGCTCCAAACGCTGGGGCAGCTCCAGGGCTGAAGGGACTCTGCTGTCCGGGGCCTGAGGAGAGGGGAGACCGCTGTGTGCTGCAGACATGCTCTAGAAACGGCAGCAGGGGTGACCTTGACACCAGTCATTGAAGGTACTCAAGGGGCCAGTGGAAACAAGGAGCCAGACGCCCATCAACTGAAATAGAAGACACCAACCTGGATGGGCGCTCCCGCGTGCACCCCGTGATGATCAGCAGAGAGCTCAGGCCTAAAACCACCCCCAGAATTGATTCTGTCAAGGAACTGGGCTTTTGGAATCTCCGGACCTTGGTAGCTGAAACAGGATCTTTAACTGATGAAGTCACAAAGTGGCAAATGGAACGTGTAGGGAATGAGGTCACAGAAGGATGGTTAGGATAGGGGACGCCCTGCCAGCAGGCAGACGACAGGCCTTGCTGTCAGCAGTGGAGGTACACACACCTCTGCACCAGGCCTGAAACTTCTGTTTCAACTTTGAAGACAATGAAGAGGAAATCAGGTGAAAATACCTACACACTTCAAATTCCTGATGAAGCTGGGTTTTTTGGTCGGGGAGGATTGAGAGGGACCTGAGAGATGAGGTCCGTGTTTTGTTTTGCTTTCTCTTGCAGTGCTATGTAATACTCGCCATGTTTTGCTGTCTGCCTGCCTTTGCCATTTTGCCTGCCTTACCGGTTTGTTTATCAGGTTCCTTAAGGTGCCCGTTGGTTTGTTCGGGTGCAGGTGTGGGGGGCTGCACAGTGCGTATGCCTGTGTGACAATTCCCAATGCCAGTGATGTCACTGAGCTGGCAGAGGCTGGTCAAGACAAGGGAGGGAAAGATGCTGACAACCCACAGACGTACAAATAGACATGATCTGGAAGAGGAAGAAGCAACCGGCCTCCTGGTCAGGGAGGTAGGAGGCCACAGTGAAGGGAGCTGGGCCCTGAGGTCTAAATGCTGATGGCCCTCCCACCCTCCGCTCAGCCCTCAGCATTTGTTATTTCTCTCCAGTCTCCCTCCTTCCCTCCCTCCCTCACGCCTCTCCTCCCTCCTTTCCTCACGCAGAGTCTGTTGGAGCAACATGCTTCTGCCTTAGTTTAACACGTCTACTGAGAGCACCTGCTATGCTCAATGTGGTGAGGACTACAAAGACAGGAATTCAGAGTTTAGCAGTGGAAACAGGTTTGTACCAAATGAACTGAGCATCTGATAGGCGGTAGGTAGAGCACCAGGTGGAAATGATAAATAGATCTATTAAGATTAAGGGAAAGACAGGGCAATACCATTTTCATTTGGAAAAACCCTGCTTCTTTGGTTAATGGCAGATGTCCCTGAGAAAATGATGACACAAGTCAGGAGTCCTCATAGCACGATGGGCATTGGTTTAGTATTTCCACAGAAGAGACGATAGCAAAAAAGAAAAGGGAAGGCCGCGTGTGGTGGCTCACGCCTGTAATCCAGGAGGCTGAGGCGGGAGGATCGCTCGAGGTCAGGAATTTGAGACCAGCCTGAGCAAGAGTGAGATCCACCCCACCCCTCCACCCCACCCCCTCACCCATCTCTACTAAAAATAGAAAAATTAGCCAGGTGACGTGGCATGTGCCTGTGGTCCCAGCTACTTGGGAGGCTGAGGGAGAAGGATCGCTTGAGCCCAGGAGTTTGAGGTTGCTGTGAGCCACGGCACTCACTCTAGCCTGGGCAAAAACAGTGAGACTCTGTCTCAAAATAAATAAATAAATAAATAAACACTCCTTGGCTGGGTGTGGTGGCTCATTCCTGTAATCCTAGCACTCTGGGAGGTCGAGTTGGGCAGATTGCTTGAGCTCAGGAGTTCCAGACCAGCTTGAGCAAGATGGAGACCCTGTCTCTACTAAAAATAGAAAAATTAGCCAGGTGTGGTGGCGCATGTCTGCAGTCTCAGCTACTCGGGAGGCTGAGGCAGGAGGATCGCTCGAGCCCGGGAGTTTGAGGTTGCTGTGAACTATGATGATGCCACTGCACTTTACACAGGGTGACAGGGGTGAGACTCTGTCTCAAAACAAAACAAAACATAAAAATTAAAATAAAAAACAAACACTCCTGTAAAGGACCATCTTAGTTCTTTTCATATTTATTTCACTTACTCCACAGCCACCATGGAGCCGCTCCTGCTGGATGTCAGGGTACACGAGGCAGGCGACTGTCGCTGCCTCGGCTGGGCTGAGGGTGGATGCAGACAGTTAATCGCGCACTGTCATTGCGGGCCGGGAGAGCTGTGACTGGGGAAGGCACAAGGTGTGGAAGCTCCTAGGGGGACACACAGCCATCCTCATGGGGACAGCCAAGGTCTGGACAGAGAGCTGAAGAAAATGAAACAAAAGGAAGTAGGAACTGGCCACGCGGAAGGGGAGGTGGGATGGGGACAGCCTGGGAAGTTTGTCGTCCTGAAGTTTGTTGTCCATCAGAAGGAATTCTGAAGACTGGAGCTTGGGTGACAAGGAAAGGGGTGGGGAGGAGCTGAGCACGGTGGCCGGAGGGTGCGGGGCTCTCCAGGACCTGGTGAGCCGGGCCAAGGGATTTGGGCTTCCGCATGCGGGGTGGTAGGTGGGACTGTACATCCCACTTCTGGTGCAAGAGTACAAGAACGTGGTGTTGTAAAATCCTCTCCTGAGTGACTGCATAGAACAGGGGACAGTGAGGATCATTGTGACCCCCACAGACAGGCACTGTCATAAAACAGGCCCCAAACAGTAGTTTTTGGACTGAATTTTCTCGACTTACCTCTGTGTAGATCAAACTAAGCACAGAACTACCGAATCACAATTGCACTTTTTACTATGTGGACCTTGTCATTGTCAAAATCACTTTGAAGGGTTTTATTTATCCTTCAGATAAATATATTATATTTAAAATAAAATGTAATTTTTTTTCTCGTGCCAAGAAAAGTTTGCATGCAATTAGCTCATTATATAAATTTTTGTGACAATATGCATTTTGGTCTGTGGGCTAGCATCGGTAACAGGCTGTTTGGTAGTGATACTGGGTTGAAGAGTATTCCCCCCGAATTCACGTCCTCCTGGCACCTCAGAACTTGACCTTATGTGGCAATTGGGTTGTTTGCTGATGTAATTAATAAAGATGAGGTCATACTGGAGTGAGGTGGGCCCTAAGTCCAATATGACTGGGGTCCCTCAAAGCGGAGGAGAGGAGACAGACACACAGGAGAATGCCAGGTGAAGACACAGAAAGGTCCAGGGAAGAAGGCCCTGGAGTGATGGAGGCAGAGATTGCAGCGATGGGTGATGGGTCTACACGCCGACGAACGCCAGTGTCTGTGGCAACGAGCAGAAGCTGAGAGAGAGAGGCATGGAAAAGATTCTTCCTCAGAGCCTCCCAGAAGGAGCTAGCTCTGTGGACACCTTGATTTTGGACTTCTGGCCTCCAGATCTGTGACAGAATAAATTTGTTTTAAGCCAGCCAGTTTGTGGGACTTTGTTGTGGCAGCCCTAGGAATCTAACAGTAGTCTTGTATATCTATAAAGGAGCTGAATCTGAGAAAGTGTGTGGGAGAGAGAGGGAGAGAGGGCTGGGGAGAAAGGAGAGGGAGAGACCTTTTTCATAGTGATCATAATCTCCACTTGTCACTTGAAAATTTCTAGTTTATGGCACTTGCCAGCAGAATGTTTTCTATGCCACCCTCTTCTGAATAGACATAGCTGTCTGCTATGACTTCTCTCACCCCCGTCCTTCCCCCCAAATCCCACAGATGCATTTCTTTTAAAACTATGGTCTTGTATACAATGGATGTACGTATTTAATATTTCTATTTGTCCTTCCATGTTTGTTTTCTAGTTGCCTGCAAGGGCAAGATTCATATTTATGTAAAATGTACTGCAAAACATCTACTTATGCCTCATACTCTTAGATACAAATGCCTTTGGAAGATGATTGTTCTGTTTGTTTCCTTCTCAGTTTCTTCCTTTAACTTTTCCATCACACAGGTACATGATAAACATTACAGAAATAACTTATGTAAAGCAATGTGAAATTTTAAAAAAATTTTATTTATTTAAAGACAGGGTCTTGTTATGTTGCCCGGGATGGAGGGTGGTGGCCATTCACAGGTGCAGTCGTGTCCTGAGGTCCTGGGATCGAGCGCTCCTCCTGCCTCAGCCTCCCCTAGAAGGTGCACACCACCTTGCCCAGCACAATATGAATTTTTAAAACCAAAAATGCACTCTGGACTAAATATGAACTAATTTTAACTGATTACAATTCTTTTTAAAACTTTCTATTGAAAAATGAAGGACAAAAATAATAGACTATGACTGCAACTTTTTAAAGTGCAACTTTAACAGTAAAAATGTGACAAAATTATAACATCTAAAATTTAAGAGTTCAGTGATCCCTCCACAACTGCGAAAGAAAACTTGTTTACCATGAAACCCTGAGGAATTTAAGACCTTATGGGAAAACAAAAGAGATGGACATTTAGTTGTAAACCTGTGGAAGAGCCTTATAAATATTTTTACATTCACTAAAATAAAACAATAATGACTACACTGTAAATAGAGACCGTATCAGTGACATTTTATAGGCCTTCCATTAGTAAGAATGGATACTTTAGTGTTAATTTTTATTCGCTGTCACTTGTTTGCCAGATTCTAAGAATCTCCCTTGCATATAGTTTCCTTAGCTGTTGGTTTTTCTTTGTTGCAGATAACAACCCTCACGCAACACCCCCACATTTAAAAAAAAATATTACTTTATGATTAAAAGATTACTATGTGTGCTCTGAAAGATTCAAATATTCTAGAAAGTGAAAGACCCTTGTAATTCAACCCTTCAGAGATAATTGGTGTTAACAGTTTAGTGTACATCTACCATATTTAAAGATGCAATTTAACCTGTATACTTATTAGAAAGTAGATATACTATTTTATTGCATTTGGCCTTATTTCCAGATGCTCAGGCCTCTCTGATTTTATAATTTTACAGAACCTCAGCTACCTGCCTCTGGATTTTTGCCATTGTGGTCTTAGAGCTGTGTAATTTGGATGACTGAGAAAGAAACATCTCTGGAAGACTTTTATTTATGGGTTATATTTTATTTGCTATACCCAGGATAACTTCATGCCAATGAGCCTGCTATCAATTCTCTTAAAATAGATCCCAACTCCCTGTCAGCTCACAGTGGCCAAAGGAATGGAGATTTGAGGCCGGGTTTACTCACTTTCATCATCTTTATCTTTCCAGAAGCATTACTGCACAAACCTCTATTTCTACCCACTTTTCTGCTCCTGGTCCCTCTGTTTCCTTTTAACTCTACAGCAGGAGTGACTTACAATTTGTATATACTGACACTTAAATCCTCAGAAGGGATGAAGAAGTGACTCAAAGTAAATTATCCTGATATATAATTTTGTGCATATGAAACTCACAGTGGAAATGAATATTCTAATTTCAGAATGAACACAGATAAACACTCGGATCAATAATCCAATTTTGAAAATGTACTTTATTTAAAGTAGAATGTGGACCAAGCCCAGTGGCTCACGCCTGTAATCCTAGCACTTTAGGAGGCTGAGGGGGGAGGATTGCTTAGGTCAGGAGTTCGAGACCAGCCCGAGCAAGAGTGAGCCCCCCCCCCCGACTAAAATAAAAATTAAAAAAGAAATTAACCAGACAACAGAAAAATAGAAAAAATTAGCCGGGCATGGTGATACATGCCTGTAGTCCCAGCTACTCTGGAGGCTGAGGCAGGAGGATCGCTTGAGCCCAGGAGTTTGAGGTTGCTGTGAGCTAGGCTGATGCCAGGGCACTCTAGCCCGGGCAACAAAGTAAGACTCTGCCTCAACAAACAAACAAAAAAACTATGCTTTCAGTTAGGCTCTGGAAGTCTGTGTCAATTTCGCCCAAGTAGGAAACATAGTTCAAAGTTAATATCCTAGCTACTGGGAGGAAGGGAAGACGAACAACACCGCTGGAAAAGGAGCATGTAATTTTTACCTTACATTAAAACTATGTTGTGGAGATTCAAAGAAATCATGATCGGAATGTGCCTCTCGTACCGGACCCAGAGTAGAGGCTTATTAAATGATAGTTTACCCTAACCCTTCCCCAAGTGGTTGGTAGGTCTTAATATTTTCCCCCAACTCGATCTATAATTTTTCCCTCCCACGTACTAATCAATAGTGAATGGAAAAGAAAGCACAGAATGGAACATTGCCCAACCGTTACCTATTAGCATCAGAAACCCACAATTCCATTATTTGTAACTGTCCTTCCTGAGAAAGTGCATATTCCAGGCTAACTCTGGCCCCATTTTTCTGGTACCGTTTGTACGTGTGGTAAAAGGTGGCTTAGAAATACTTCGGTTCTTGCCTCTTCACAACACACTGAACGTTAAAGTCAAGTTGTTGGGTTTTTATTGGTTAATTTTGTCTTTAAGCGTCTTATTCCTCAAAATGTCATCGTTCTTTTTGTCTTACAGCTTTATAAACCTTCCCTGGATTTTTGAAAACGGCGTTATAACACCGAAAGCATAGTGGAGTTGGGTCACAGCGAAGTTGCTCTCCATTTCCCCCAGCACAGCCACACGGACAGCCAGGCCCACGCGGGGCAGGCGCGGGACCGCGGGGCGCACGTGTGCTCCGCCACCCTGCCGCGTACGTCCGAGTGTTTACACGGCTCTCTCTTCCTCCTCCGCCCCGCGGTCCCGCGACCCCGATCCCGGACCATTATGTCCACATCTTGGCGCCCTCCCGAGCCGGAGCCGGAGCCGGAGCCGGAGCCGGCGGGGCCGGGCGCCGCGTCAGAGGGAGGGGCCGCGCGGGGGAGGGGCGGTGAGGTCAGCGGCGGCGCGTCGGCGGGCGCGGCGCATGCGCGGAGCTACCCCCGTGAGTGGCAGCGGCGGCGCGCGGGGGGCGGGCGAGGGGCCGAGGAGTGGGGGCAGGGGGCGGGGGACGCCGAGGCGGTTGTGTGTGGGCGAGACGGCGGCGAGTTTGAGAGGTCTGTGGTGCGGCCGGCCGGGGGGAGCCCCGGCGCGGGCCTGGCGCGACGGCACGGTCGTGTGTGTGGGGTACACGCACACCCGCAAAACTTCCTCTTCCTCGGTCCCGGAGAGCGAGCGACCGTGTGTGAGCGCGAGTGCGAGCGAGCGAGCTGAGGGGCCGCCGCTCGTGTAGCCCCGAGCCCTCCGCCTCCACCGGAGCAGCTGTCAAAACTTCGCCGCCGCCGCGGATCCTGACGCGCCTGACGGCGGGGGAGGGGCGGCCGCGGGGCGCGACCCCTTCCCGCCCCGCAGGGCCC